AAGAGGAAGGATCCCTTCCCCTACTCCCGCGCAACCCACCTTTCCTTTTTTTTGAGTTCTGTAGACGGACGTTAGTCCTTGGGCCAGGAATTCAAGGTCCCTGTCAACAAGGACCCCGAACCAAACCCTGCGGCGGGGGATTTTTCTCCCGCACAGGGCCTAAGTGCCCTGCCCACTAGGCCGCCTAACCGCAAGGCTAGGGGTGCCCTGTGGGGCGAACGGCGTGTCCTTCAGCCGTTCAAAATCGTGAGGGGCGAGCCCCCACCATATATTCCTTCAGCCATTCAATATCTCGAAGATATTTCAGCGACCACTTCAGTTGGACAACATTGCTGGTCAATATGGGAAGGCCTAGTATCCGCGCGGATTATATTGAATCAGGCACGCGGCTCCGACCTCACTCCCACATCGAAGAGTTATGGGTCTGACGACGGAGACGGAATCGCATGATGGGCAACAACGCGAAGAAGTGCGTAAGGATTCCACGTTCGAGCGCTCAGGCGCGCCAAACGTCGGCCCGCTTAGGGGCCAGACTTGGGATTTGTTTGTGCACGGCTTCGTGCTAGCCTGCCTTTAAATGGTATCGGGGCGGACTACGGGCTAAGCAGGGTCGCTCGCCCTGACTAAGGCCTTGGACTGCTTCCTTCTTAAAGCTTTAATGGTTGGGCGTTGTAGCCCGTGGCAACCGTCAAAGTCAAACCCCTTGATCTTTGGTTGCCACGACAACTTGAAGCTGTCTACTCAACCCTTCTGCACAGGGTGCAGAAGAGGGTGTGGTCCTCAACCGCTCATGGCGGTTGTCTAGCGCGGAGAGATTAACCCTTGACGCGCTTGTCAGCCGACACTTGAGTGTTGAAGGAAACCCTCAAACCAACTGAGGGTCACCCAGGCTTGGACGCCACATAGTACCCCATCACTGCAATCATTTGTGTAAGCACGCATGACTGGTTGGTATGAGAAGGTCGTGCGTTCAAGGGGTCCTTTGTACTAGGTCCAGCACGCAATGGCTACCTAGCGTCCGTGTCGAAGAGTTATGGGTCAGATACCAAAGGGACTGGGAGTTGTATTTTCTCTGTTTTGCTTGTGTGTGCGTGTGTGCGAGTTACTTGATTTTTGTTTTAGAGTGGTGTAGCGCGTGGTGTGCGTGAAGCGTCCTAGTCGACCGACGTCAAGTCGAGATTGGGACTTCAGCCCCCCAGTGTCGTCGGCTTGCGTACGGGTTCGATTTCGGGCGTTGACCGCGCGTAACCCTTATGCTACAGCGAACGAGAAACGCCCTCGGCTGGGCCACCTCTGCAATTGCATTATAAAAGCTTTCGCATGTGGTTCAGTAGCTCGGCGGGGATACGCCCACCAAAGGGATGGTGACAGCTCCCGCTGGTGGAGGTAGTGGTGCCTCGCGTGGCCCTGTCTTGTCGTAGGGGCGCATGAGAGGTACGGCTGGCGCACTCGGCCGGAGCGGCAACACGCTCTTCCGCCACAAGTCCTGCCAAATCCTGCGTGACGCGGCCGGGAGGGTCCCCGTGTGGGACCGATGCGCTCGACAGGTGGCGCCGTTGTCGGGGATCTCGGCTGCCTACCGGGGTCCATAGTGAACGAACCCAGGTTAAGTGCAGGCTGATGATCCAGGCAAAACGACAACCTTTGATGGAAAGATTTTTCTCCCTTATGATTGACGATGATACGAGTATTGTGGCATTCTTTTGATGACATGTCAGATCTAGTTTGATTGATGAGTAAGGTTGGAAGTATGCATTGTATATATGTCCGTTTTTTTAGCAATAAAATCAGAAGTAACAATATAGAGACCTGATAGGCTACTGTAGTTAAATAAAGATAATCATGAAAGTAAGCGAGTTGGAAATTTGATGGCCGATTGTTTTTGTTAAAACCGTTCATCCCTTAACAGGTTTTTGAGAAAGCGTAAAGATGGGGGACGCTGATGGAATCGAGCGGGGCCCGGGTACTACACCTGAGGACTTCGTCAAGGCATTGGAAAAAAGAGAGATGGCACGGCTTCAGGTGCCCAAGGTTAACATTTGTCTCTTCAACAGGGATAGAGTGTCCGAGTGGCTTGAGTTGCTGGAGCAGGTCACTAGCGAGGCGTCAGAAGCAGACAAATTCAAGTTGATGCCTAGGTATGTATGGTGGGAGCTTAGACCTGAGGTAATGAAGGTAGCGGCCGGCGCAAATGGTGAGTGGGCAAAGTTTAAAGAGGAGATGCAGAGACGTTTCAAGTTAGGTGACGGCCTGCTCACCAAAGAAGACCTGGAAATGTTGAGACGRGACGAGTTCTCCACAGTGGGGGCCTTCGCCACGACGTTTGAGAAAATGGCAAAGAAAGTCYSAGGGTTGGYAGAAGAGGASCAGTGTGTCACTTTCCTAGGGCACTTCAAGAACTGGGAGGGCTYGTYGCTAACTAAGAAGGCGGCGCCARGAAAGAAGYTCACTTGGGCTGCCATAAAGGAAGGCGTAATGGACGGAGAACTGGACCAGGTAGACATCTTCCAGATGAGGCAGGCTAGGAAGAAAAGGAAGGCTTTGGATGCCACCATGAGTGATGGACGTGATTTCAAGAAAATGATAGAGGACGCGGTGGCCTAGCTCGACGCAAAGAAGGAGGCAAAAAGGAAAACCATGGCAGCGCCACAGAGCGTAGGGAAAGCGAAAAAGGCAGTAGTGCAGGAAGAAGAAGAAGAGGAAGAGGAAGAGGAGCCCGAGCCTCAGAAGCTGACTAAGGCTCAGAGGAAAGCAAGGAACTTGGCTCAAGGGGGCCAAGGCTCGGGGAAGGGACAGGTCCCGCAGGCTGTGGCAATGCCCCCTCCTGAGTCGTCCCATCAAGCTGCACCAGCACCCTATGGGTCGTGGCCAGGTTGTGGGCCTCCGAGTCATTGGCATGGACACTGTTCATCTGCCCCGTGGCCCATGAGTGGGCCACATAGATCATGTGCCGGACCGTCAATGAGCGCGGCTTCCTGTGGCTGCCCAGGACCCCAAGCCCAACAAGTAAGCCATCCAGCCCCACCGCCAACCCAACCCCAACAGTCCTCCCCACAAGGGTCGCAACGCAATCAAGGCGGTGGACGAGGACAAAACCAAGGATGGCGCCGAGGGCGAGGAAATGGTGGCCGGGGAGGAAATGGCAGAGGGAACCATGGTGGAAACTCTACAGGCGGAGGAAATGGGGACTGGACTGCATCCGGAAGTCAGGGTGGTCAAGAAGGTGGAAGAGGCGATGACAGAGGTAGAATAGACTGGAGGAATGCCATTTGTTGGCATTGTGGCCAGAAAGGCCACACTATCAAATTCTGCCACGTCCGAAGAAATGATGAAGACAAAGGGTTGATTAGTACAAATTACGATGGCGACATGTATGATAAGTATGGGTACTACATCGACCCGAAGACCCCAGGGGGCAGAAGGAAAGAGGCCCTACGAAGGGCCACGACCGGTCCACCACAAGCTCCGCCAGCTATGTTTAGGATTTGGCAAGAGAAGGAGGCCGAGCCGGACGTGAGGGTAGAAGAGATTGGGAGAATGAGGAGGTGGAGCAAGTCAGGAAAGCTGGGATTATCAGGGAGGAGCCTATCATAATAGACTCAGACGATGAGGAAAGTCCGACAGTGGAAGGAGGATGGTGGAGTGAGGCCTGGAGAACGATGGAGAATATGGAGCATTTGTTGGGCAAGGTCCGGCGATACCAGGGAAAGTTGGTAGAGTTGTGCGAGGAAGTTAAGGCGTGGCAAGGGCAAATGCCACAAGTCTTTCTGTATGGGTCAGGATCGCAGGGGGCGCCCGCGAATATCCCGAATGTGTCTGTCACAGGAGGGACTTCCAGACCAGGGATAAACTTTAGGCCGCCATCACGATCTGGGAGGGCAGCCCATGCAGTCAGAACGAGAGCCAAGGGACCAGTGGGGTCAGAGCAACCTGCCAAGGACGCTCCCGGACCAAGCGGAGAGAAGGAAGTTGTGGAACTCCCTGGGAATGAGGATGAGGAAGACGACCGCCTAAGGAACGAAGAGGACGAAAAGGCGGAGCAAAGAGCTAAGAAGAGGGGCGTTAGGACTGACATAGAGAAGACCACCGAACCAAAGAAGAAGAAGTATACGGTCAAGGTGGAAGAAGGGTTTGACATGGAGGAGATTATAAATCGAATTTTAGAAGGTCATAATCACCTCATGAACCTGAAGGACGTTTTGGCATCAGCACCAAGACTTAGAGATGAGCTCAAGGCTCGTCTTAGCAGAAAAATGGTGGCGAGTGTACGCTTAGGGGCCATAATCCCTAAGGAGGCTGAGTGGGCGGAAACCGACACAAAAATGGACTAGAAGTCCGTGGCGTGCGGGTGTTTTAACGTTGTTGTGAAGGGAAAGTCGTGCACGGCCATGATAGATACAGACGCAGAAATAAACCTTATTAAGGAGGAAGATGCATTGCGCCTGGGAATGGAGATAGACCGCTCCGACAATGGCATCTTGGTGGGAGCGAATAGTCGGTCCATCTTTGTGGGGACCGCGTCCAAAGTAGTACTGGAGATCGGGAAGGTGAAGGTGAGGAGCTGTTTCTTTGTAATGCCCGATCTCGATCACCCAATTTTACTGGGTCGATCATTTTTAAGCAGAACAGAAGCCGTCATACTGAATAAGCATGAAGGGACTATGTTCTTGGTCATGTGTGACCCGGTGTGAGGCAACTATGAAGTTGTCACATGCCCGAACACAGGGCCACGAAGCATCCGGAATCGACCCAGTCCTGGCTCCTACACGATTGAGAAGTCAGAAGAAGAGAGAAGAAGGCTAAGGGAAGTCGAGAGCGAAGGAGAGAGACCGCCAGAAGCAATGACCCTTAGCTTGGCAAGTATAGGCGACGCTATGGACATAGTAGCGACCTACGGGATGGCGGATCCTACGACCGTGGAGGCCTTGAGAGAAAAGGTGGTAGAGCAAATGGGAGTCGGGGAGATGGAACTGGTGTATCGAGCGCTAGGAGGGATCAGCGGAGCGGTGGGAGCCCAACCTCAGGTCGCAACTAGGCCTTTTTTAGAGGTGGGTTCAAGAAGGGATCTCAAAGGCGGTACAAAAAGGTAGATCAAAAGTGCCGCCCTGTTCCAGTGCTGGTAGCCGAGGAAAAGGAAGTATACTACGAGCGGGAGAGAGAATTGATACGGCAGATGTGGGAGAATGCTGAGAGTATGCCATGTCGTATCAACCTGGAGACCGAGAAGGCGCTGATTATAGGGGAGCCTGACTTCCTTACAGTGCAGGAAGAGAAGCTTATGGTGGACACCATAAGAGGAAGGCACACTGCATATGCCTTCAATGATGACGAGAGAGGACGTCTGGACGTGGATAAAATCCCCATGATTAGGATACACACCGTGCCGCATGAGCCGTGGAATTTGCGGGGTGCACGATATCCTAATCCAGCTGATGAGGACAAGGTAGTCAACTACCTAGATGGGAAGATCCGCACGCATATATCAGACTACTCGAGCGGGCCGTATGGATCCCCCTGGTTTTGCTTGATTAAGCCAAATGGGACGTTGAGGTGGGTACAACACTTGCAGCGCCTAAATGCTGTGACTGTTAGAGACGCAGGTGGTCTCCCTAACGCAGATGCGCTTTTAGAGGCATGCGCAGGAGGGCCATTATATCTCTTATAGATCTATATTCTGGTTATGACCAGTTTCCTGTATACCCATCTGACAGACCAATGACGGCGATGCATACCCCTCGAGGGTTGATCCACATGAACGTCGCACCACAGGGGTGGACAAATGCGGTCGCCATGGTCCAGAGGCACATGGTGAGGGCGATGCAGCCAGTAAGCCCTCACATCACTCAGCCTTACATTGATGATTTGGCCGTGAAAGGGTCGAAGAAGAAGGATGAGCGGGAGGTCATGCCGGGAATCGGACAGTTTGTCTGGGATCATGTGCAAGACTTATGTCAAGTCGTGGACTTGTTAAAGGAGCATAACCTCACCGCGAGTGGGCCAAAATCCAAGCATTGCATGAGTGGTGYCACTATCTTAGGATTTGTGTGCGACGAGAGGGGTCGTCGGCCAGATACTAAGAAGACGAACAAGATTCTCGAATGGCCAACCCCGTTCGAGACGATTACAGAAGTGAGAAGCTTCCTCGGCACATGCGGGTCTTGGAGAATATTTATTAAGGGGTTTGCGGCGAAGACAGAGCACTTGCGAAAGCTTGTGCGTCAAGGCCAAGATTGGGAGTGGGGAGAAACGCAGGAGGTGGTGATAAGGGACCTGAAGAAGGAGTTTGAGGAAGGAGGACTGGTACTGAGGGTACCAGACCATGCTGCTGTAATGACCAGGCCCTTTATCGTAGAAACGGACGCAGGACCGACTGCCTTAGGAGGGGTTTTGATTCAGAAGGACTTCAATGGAGAGGAGTGGCCGCTAAGATTTGAGAGTCGAACGCTTAACACCGCTGAACGAAACTACTCACAATTCAAGCGCGAGACCTTAGCAGTCCTCCACTGCCTGAGGATCTTCAGAAACTACCTCTTCGGCAGCAGGTTTGTATTAAGGGTGGATCCAACTGCTCTAGCAGCTCTAGCAGGTTCTCTGAAGAATTATGCTCCCTCAGATCCAACCATTGCCCGATGGCTGACGTACATCTGGATGTTTGATTTTGAGTTGGAGCGAATTCCAAGAAACAAGAACCGGGCAGACGGGCTGAGTCGATTCGACTGGGACAAGAGCAGTGGAGGAGTGATTGAGGATACTCCCCCAGTCGACGGGTTCTCGGACAATAAGGAGGATGTGAGACTTCACATCAACTCCTGATCGCTGGCAGTAGGGAACTATATTACTCATGGACGGCCTGTGTGGCTGACACCTCCAGGATATGTGCGATTGCTAGGGTCAGTCCTAAAACCCTATGTGGAAGAAAACTCGTGGGGAAAGCCGGATGTGGAATGGATGATGGAATTAGCCTTGGCGGATAAGCATCAACTGGGGGAGGACCTGATCACTGTGGAGAATGGGGCCCAGCAAGTGGAAAAACACGAGAGATCGGTAGGAGGAGTCTACCTACTGGCCAATGCCTTACTGCAAGAGGAAGCGACCAGAAATGTTGGGCAAGATCAGGAGAGGAGTGAGAGCGAGGTATATGAGAGAGAAGAAAAGGATTTTGAGGAAGGCGAAATCAAAGAGGCCTTTCGAGCAGAAGAGTACGATGGGGTCTACCTAGAGTTCGGAATGCTTCTTTCATGTGAAATGAGGGAAAGGGATGCAAGTGAAAAAGTCCTGAAGATGCGGCTAAACTTTCTGGTGAGAGATGGTCACCTGTTTATGAAGAGAAAAGGGAGATTTCCAAGGAGGGTGGTTTGTGGCATCGCTCGTCAGATTGATGTCATAGTTGCCCTGCATGATGGCACAGCAGGTGGGCACAGGAGTACGGACACGACGTACCTCAAGACAGCAGAATTGTTCTTTTGGGATGGCATGGGCAAAATGATTGACGACTATTGTAAATCATGTGTGCCATTTCAGGGGCGATCTTCCCTCAGACCTAGGGAACCGCTTCACCCAAGATACGTACGCGAGGTCGGAGCAGTCGTACACCTGGACCTACCAGCGATGTCGTAGGGGATAGGAGAATTCAACTTTATTTTCGATGCGCGAGATAACTTCTCAGGGTTCGTGGATGGAAGGGCCATCCGCACTAAGACTGGTGAGACGTTGGCGCGCTGCATCGAAGAGTATTACCTCCGATATCCCTTCGTCTCCAGATTTGTCATGGATAGGGGGTCCGAATTCACCTCTGCAGAGGTAAAGGCGCTTCTACTAAGATATGGGGTGATTGCTGAATACACTACTGCAGCGCATCCCCAAGCAAATGCGCCGGTGGAAAGCAGACATAGTACCATCTCGAACCTTCTCGCAAAGTGGACTAGTGGGAGGCCGAATCAGTGGCCAGATTTTCTGAGGGTCGCGTTCTTCGTGGACAACATCACAGTCAGGGGGAGCAATGGTTACGCTCCAGCCACATTATGGTATGGGAGACATGCGACGTTCCCTATTGAAAGCTTCCTAAAAACTTGGAGGCGGCAGAACCTCGAAACGGAGTTGACGTTTGAGGAACTGCTGGACTTAAGGGCACGTCAGATTGGCACCATAGAAGACCATATTGAGGGCGCGGCAAATAGGCTGGCTGGTAATCGGGCTCAGGACAAGTACAGGTGGGATCAAATGGTCAGGGTAAGGAAGGAACCTCTCAAGGTGGGTGACACTGTGCTGTTATATGATTCATCCCTGGAGAAGCAGTGGTCACGAAAGTTGGACAAGCGGTGGTTGGGACCCTACAAGGTCGCAAGAGTTGGAGAGTATGGCGCATACCAAATTGAAGAGCTGAATGGGACCGCTTGGAGGGACTGGGTGTCTGACTCGAGGTTGAAGAAGTTTGTCGCTGGAGATGAGGTGAGCTTGGACCTCGCAAGTTAAAGTCCCTCATTCTGGTTAAGCATGTCATTCTGATGGGGGTATCAGTATCAGTATAGATTGTATGGCAACTCATTAGAATGGTATGATAGGTCATGATGTTAGGGTTTGTATGATAGGATAGGTGCGTGTGTATATGTATGTGTATGTCTAGGTTAGATGGGGAGGGATCTGTTTGTCTCTCACTGTGTGTCGAACCTGCTTACCACTTTGTGTGCTTTTGCTTGTCTCTTCCTTGTTGTGCAGGCTTGACACCATTTTGGCGAAGCCATGCCAAGAGGGAAGGGAGGGGCGGGGCCAGTGGAACCCCCTCAGGGGGCCGCCAGACAGAGAGTACATAGTTGGACCCGGAGAGAAGACAGGCCGCCCGTCTTCAGGGGAGGGAACGTTGAGCTGTTCCTGGTGGAGTTTGAGAAGCATGCCAATGAGTTCAGGTGGGATGGAGCCAGGATGCTGAGGAAAGTGCGAGGAGAGGGCGAGTGGGCTGAGCCCATTGCCAAGTATGTGCGAGAGTCGGCAACCTGGACAGAGTTTGAGAGGAAGATGGAAGGGATAGATCCATCACCTGTGGGAAGAGATGAAGTGCCGATCCGGTTCGATGGGACGAACCTGGAGAAGTTCCTGTGGGCGTACGACCGATTTGCAGATGAGCAGAACGTTGAGCCTAAGTCGAGAGTGAAGGGGTTCCTCCTGTTTGTGAGGAGGCATATCAGGCTGTTCGTCAAGAGTGTGGTGGAAAAAGCATTACACTGGGGAGACTGCAAGCGGTTATTGAGGAGTCACTGTACTGCAGCACGCCAGGCAGAGGAAAGGAAGAGCATGGAGAAGAAAAGGAAGGAGCCTGAGGCTGAGGGCAGGAGGAACTTTGAGAGGGGTGCATCGTCCAGGTCTCAGGAGGGTGAGAAGAGGAGAGAGCATGCTTCCCACAAGGCAGAGAGGAAGGAGGAACAACCATCTGAGAGGGCACAAAGGAGGAGATGGTCAGAGGTGCCAGAGGCTCCTCCCCAGCCAGTTCAGAGGTAGGGGGATCAGCCCATGGCAGAGGCAGGGCCAGAGGGACGTGGGTCGCCAAGGCAAGAGGTGGATGAGGATCAGGCTGCCAGAGAAAAGGAATTGGAGAGACAAGAAAGGGCCGCCAGAGACCGAGAGATTGGCGCAGAGATCAGGAGGAAGAACCTCGAGGAACTGTACAAGAGGATGGAACAAGAAGAGCGGCCAGTGGTTGTGAAGGACAAGAAGGGAAAGAGTACCGGCAACGAACTAGAGGACGACCCTCCCCTACTCTCTGAGGCGTGGGCGAACTTCGACAGGTTGATGGGGGCTGCAAGAGGACTTGAGGAGCCACAACAGGAGATGGGGGTGAAGTTGGTCTACGCAGACTTGCTCACCCTGAGAGGGACGATGAAGGGGCTGCAAGAGGACTTGAGGGGCCACAACAGGAGATGGGGGTGAAGTTGGTCTACGCAGACTTTCTCACCCTGAGAGGGACGATGAAGGAAGGATTTGCAGCAGCTCGGGCGTCAGATCAGAGGGTTGGAGAAAGGTTGACCAAGGTGGCACAAAAGGCCTATGGTCAGAGGGTGGAATGGGAACAGGAGATTAGGGAGCTGAAGGCGAACCAGGAGAGGCAAGAGCGCGAATTGAACGCGCTGAAGATGGAGCTAGAGAAGGCCTGGGGAGGCAATGAGACGATCAGGCAGGTGAACCAGACCCTCAACAAAGTTAACGAGGCTCAGAGGGCATACCAGCAGGCTAGGCAGATTTTTTTCCAGACAAAGGAGAGAGAGTGGGAAAAGAGGATCAAGGAGTTGGAAACAAAGCTCGAGCAGAGAGCACCCACGGCCTTGGTGGATTGGACTGAAGTCCAAGGGTTTGAGATGAAGAGGCCACCTGCAAAAGAAGCCTTCAGAAGTCAGAAGGAAGAAAAAAAGGCTGACCTTTAGGAAGGAGAAGACATACCCTTGTGGGATAAGGAGATGCTGCAGCCTGAAACAGTGGGGGGCAAGAGGCGAAGAGTCTGATTGGCCAATACCTTCTATTGTGGCGCACCAACAGGCCTGTGAGGGACTTGGCGGAGCACAGCAGGCGAAGACAGTGAGGGATGAGAGCATGCTGCCTATCGCCCAGGAGGTTATCGAGGGACAGTTGGTTCAGAGAAATGAGGGAGTATTGCCTACTATCCAGGTGGTGGCCGAGGGGCAGATGGTCCAGGGAGTTGAGGAAGAGACTGCGCAGGGAGCAGGCCATGAGATCTGCCAGGAGTCCACCACACCTCCAGGCATGCCTTTGGTGGTTGGNAGTGAGGGATGAGAGCATGCTGCCTATCGCCCAGGAGGTTATCGAGGGACAGTTGGTTCAGAGAAATGAGGGAGTATTGCCTACTATCCAGGTGGTGGCCGAGGGGCAGATGGTCCAGGGAGTTGAGGAAGAGACTGCGCAGGGAGCAGGCCATGAGATCTGCCAGGAGTCCACCACACCTCCAGGCATGCCTTTGGTGGTTGGATTGGAGGAGGCTTTGGGCTCATGGGCCACTGGGTCTGGGTCAGAGACACGTGTGGGTGGTCCAGCCATGCAGGAGGGAGACAGAGCCGCCTGCCCCATTCCAGCAGAGATACCTCAGCAGGAGGTCACTAGCGAGGTCACAACAGTCCCTTCATCAGCGCCCTCGCAGGAAGAGGAGAGAGGGACGCAAAAAAAGATTGGCAAATGCTTCTACTGCACGAGGGGTAAACATCGGGCCAATGATTGTCTCAAGAGTCTCAAGGACGAGGCCGATGGTTTGGTTACTAAGGACTCCCCGGTAGTATGGAGGGATAGAAATGGAGTCCGAGTCCCTAGGGCTCGTGATGGGGTGAGAGCGCAGTTGTATAGGCAGCTGCAGATGGACATGAGTGATTAGGAGTAGGATTTAGTTAATAGGGTCCAGAAAGGTCTAACTTGGGTATATGTAAGACATCTTCGACTCTCTGCTGATAGATGATTGTATATAGATGGACACATGGAGGATTGGATGACACCCATGTATATCAGTAGACAGAGTCTGTACTGAGATGCCTACTATTACATTATATACCTTCAGGACTAATTGTACGCTAGATAGCCTTGAGTGTGAGCAGGCTACTTTCGTTTTCGTTGATACAGTGTACATTGTGTATCTTTTGTGTGAGCTGTGTTTACTCTTTCTTTCTAGAGCAGAGTGTGTGAGACTTGTGAGAGTCTTGAGTGTGCGGTACGAGGTGACAGTGAGACCTAACACCTGACTATACTGAGCTTTCTGAACGCTTTTAATTTATTGTATATACCTTGAGTCTTTGAGCGTGACAGGGGTTCTGCTTATTGCAAAAAACCCATTTTTTTTGCGTATATATGAGATACAGGCTTTATGGAGTTTGTGTGATACATCACGCTCACATTCAGTTGTGGACTTGCCCATGTATGTATGAATGTTGTGGAATGTCACTTATGTTAGATGCATCTGCACTATCGCTTCTCTATACTTGAGTATACCTGTCATTGTTACAGGCAAAATACTGAAGTACAGCTGAAGGAAAGTGCGCATAATATGTGAGAAAACTGTGTGTTGAAATTGAATAATGGTATGAATGGAAGGTCACAACTGAGGTTGTGTCATTTTGTGTGGTCTGAAAGTGTGAAAGGGAACTCAATGGCCGGTTGAGTTTCTCCTGTGCATAAATGAAATTATGAGAGAGCACTCTGAGGAGATGCTATAATGATGACGATGATGAAAATTTTGTATGCATGCGAAGTCTGACAAGAAAAGACCAAAGTTTTTCGTGAGAATTATGGATGAATTATGGTAAGTGTGATGGAGATTTTGGTAAGGTGTCCCTACAAGACGTGTGACCTTGTCTGCTCTGATCAAAGCAAGAAAGGCACGACCTTGTGAATTTTTTTTTTTTTTTTTTTTTTTTTTGTGGAATTTTGAGAAAGGCACTATCCCTCCACGTAGTCCCGTGGGCGGTGGTATGTGGTCCTTTGAATATTTTTGTGTGTGACAGAGAAGGCCAAACCACAAGCAGTCAGTCTAAGGGACACATTATGTGAGGCCAGGCTAAGGGGCTATACTTAGCATCGCTGGAACTGTAGGAACTAACTCCCAGTGAGGGCCGCTGATCGACGCAACCTGACAGCGGGACCATGGCTCACCAAAGGTTAAGACTTGAGAGGTCGGCCGCCTGGAGAGGCTTAGCTGGAGGGAAGGTCATTGGGGTCGATGAGGTCAAGAGCCGGAACCCTTCGGGGTGCCAGGAGARAGAAAACTGYTTATCGTTGYGCAACCAACGAGGRMACTGCCGCTATATAACAACGCRRTGGGCCGCAGATCTGGCCCGATCAACCAGACTGTGGTGGGYCARGATGGGGACCTAGAAGCCGCCTRTGTTAGGCTCCAGGTTGGGCGTTCTTTGTGGATTTTTTGAGATGGTAGTAACTACCATTTTTGGGGACTAAAGGTGCCCCGTGTCTTGAAGAGGTCTCGGTTAGGGCCCGCGTCCTAAGTTATGACCCTGCTTGCGGGACGATGACTAAATAGGACACCCAACGGTGAACCGACAGATGTCTAAGGCGAAGGGAGAGGACTATCGAAGCTACTACCTGGGAGCGGACATTACGCTGTAGTATGGAACAAGTATCCCCTGCGTCCGAGGCCAGGACAGGGAGACCTAGGTTGAAACCCTGGCAATGGAACACCGTGACGGGGGTAGTTTGATAGAATGCCTCAAACGGAGTCAAGCCGGCTTATCGGATTGGTCAACTCCTTGTCAGCACGATGCGAATTGAATTGTTTATAACTTTTGATCTGACCGGCCCGACAGGGACGTCGCTTAATAGGGTCCGAAAAATTGTCGGCACCATTACCCTTACAAGGGTAATTGTGCGCGTTTTTGCACCTCGCAGGAGAGGCGACTGGGCTAGGATCTGTGAAGGTGGCACATAGTTGTCCTACCACGACCGACTTGGAAGTCGGAAGCGGCAGGTGTAAGTGTGGGTCAATTACAGAGTGTGTGAGCAGGCACTTTGCGGGCATGCGTGAGTAGTTGGCCGCCGACTGACTTAGAAGTTTGGGCCGGACTACGCAAGTCGCAGGACCATGGCCTCGGTAGAGCTACCGCGGCACAAGTATAGCCGGTAGGGCTATGGTAAAAAAAGGGGGGGCCTTCACCGATCCGATAAAAGGAGGTGCCCTTGGGGTCGCATGGTGTGGGCGGCGACGGCATAGAATCGACTGTGTATTACCGGGAGCCAAAGATTGGAGAGCGGGTGCGAACTGGACCCCGTAAGGTTGAAGACCGGGACCTTTTCCGGTGAAACAGCGATAAAAGGCCGGCCACGACGGGGCTATGAAGGCCGCTCGTTGCGGTTAAAGGTACTCGAAGGTGGCATGTGTTGCAAGACGCACCAAAGGTTGCTTTGAGGCGGCACAGCGTGGCTCTACAAAGCCATGGGCCTGAAAGAGCAGGCCAGCTGTGGCCGTAACATGCCCCTGCAAGCCCGGGAAACTCGCAGGTACTATTGATATGAAGGTTTGCGCCTGCTATTTCCAAGCTAGGGCTTAGCCCTATAGGTTACGGTGGCAGACTTTTACCAGGCGGATCTCGGGATCGAGGCTAGCAGCCAGCATTGGAGGAGCAAAGGAGCGCAGGACAATTGAGGGGTTGAGGGTCCCGCGGGATTATCCCCCTTCCTTTTGCCAAGGAGTCCGGCAGCGGGCCCACGAGGCAGGGCTAAGGGCAGAGTGCCAGCGGTCCCCCTCCCCTCAGCTATTTTTTCTTTTTTTCTCTTTTAGAAATTTTGATTTTCTAATTTTTTATTTTGATTTTTATTTTTTTTCAACTTTGTTCGTTTTGGGGCACGACCGGTGCCGACTCCGGGACCGGCCGTGGGCACCAAGGGTCGTTGGCAAAGGGGCAGACCAACGAGAATCTGAAGTATAAATCAAGGAGCAGCGACCCTCCACTTGGTGATTCCTGTGGAAGCCATTGTGGGAGCGCTGTCTCAGCCTCTTGTGAAGGAAGGTTTGCAGTATGCGAGAAAATTGAAGCGGGTCAGGCATCGCAGTGCAGCGCTGAACAGCAACGAGCGCCAAGGCA